TAACGATCCTCAGTATGCCATTAAAGAATCAGGACACCCTTATACAGAGAAAGCGCTACAGGTTGTCTTTCGTATTCGTTAGGCCAAGAGAAGCAATTTTCTTGGTGGACCTTGTATTGTCTATTTATATTCTTTTCACATTCTTACTTCAATGAAAAAGTTTAAATTGCACGGGAAGCGAATAAGAGAGCAGAGTTACTGACGTCAGAAGTAATTGGTTTGAGTCCATTATGGTTAAACTTCAAATTATTTTGAATAAGAGATGACGTTGAACACATCGGCAATAATATAGATATTTACGAGCCTTAGAGCCACGTGGCAGACTGGGAAGAAGGTTTTGGCCGATACTTGAAGAGATGGCTCCTAAAGGAAAAAGGCCGATTGATCTGATTAGATCGAAGATACATCGGACAATTCACCTGTTGAAGACTCGCGTATGTCGGTGCCAAAAAAAGTTATTGAAGGGAGGCAATGTGACATTTCGCAGACGACATATGAATGTAGCCGTTGGAGTCTGCATCAGTCTTGTGATCTTCTATAAATTTATATTGTCAGGTAGTGAGACCACCGTGTCAACGGATGAGAAAGACGCTCAGATGGTCCCAAGAATGGTAAAGACACTTACCTAAAGGTTTTTGAAAGATAATCTTATTTGATTAAATTTTTTCACTATTTTAATTAGTGATAAGCAAGAAAAAATAGAAAATCGAAAGAGAGAGCAAGACCTTGTATCGATCGAAATATAGTGTATTGGAATGTATCCTATCTGGAATTTTTCCCGCCAAATCGAATTTTCCTTGAAAACAAAAGGTTTTTTGTCTCTCACGAACCATTGCTCGATGCCTCCGTGCACTCGCATTTGATGTTTTATACCATGTCTAATTAATCTAGTTCTGGATATTTTCCGTAACATTAAGACTCGTGTCTTTCTGTATATTTCAGAAGTAAAATCTTTCCCCTAGGTACTTATATCGTTTTATCGTTTAGTTTTAAGGTCTAGGCTGGGAAAGATAGGTAGTTTTTGCAGGATATATTTAGACAAAGAAAATATGACTTTGGGACATCTTCTAACGCGGATAGTATACTTTGGTATTTTAGTGTGCATTTGTGTAGTGAAAAGGGGACGGAGAGAAAGACCCGGCCTGCATCGACCAAAATTTTAAATAAATATAATTTATTTAATATTTGAAAACCATTTGCATTCTTCAGAATGCCGTGAGCCAGGAGGAGTCGACTGAGACCGTTTGGGAAGCGGAACTGGAACGACGTAAGAATCTTATTATGGACGTCTGCAAAAAACATGGCATGTCGCTAGATTGGAGGCCAAATCCCAGCCGACAGAAATACATTGTGGTAGAAGAAAAGAGCAAAGTTATGGCATGCTTAGTGCCAATTCCTAAGTCAGGGTTGTCAGGCTGGAAAAGATGGCTTCTGGCCATTGGAGGCTACATGAATGGCACCATGCTTCAAGACATCGCGATCTCCAAAAAGTTGCAGGCGGAATTATCTGTCAAGCACCTAAAGTCAATGCCCGCTTCAACACCCGAGCAACTGACTGCGTATTACAAAGTGTTTTTCATTGGGGATCCTTTAGAAAGACTCCTTTCTGTGTATAAGAATAAGATTGAAACAAACCATTTTAACAATCTGGAGGTCGTTTCAGTTGTAGGAAATTATGTTCTGGAAAACTACCGCGGAGAAACCGCCAAACTTCCTGTGACCATAAAAAGGGAAATAGGAAAGGCCGTCTGCACTCTTCCAAATGGGCAGACGGTCGAGTATTATCAGAGAGATAATAAGGATTTGATCAGTCTTTCCTTCGATGACTTTCTCAACTACGTTGTTGACAATCCTGATAAAATGGACCTGTCATGGCAACCTCTACACGAGATCTGTCAGCCGTGTGGGATTAAGTACGACGTTGTCGGCTATTTCAGTTCGTTGCTAACTGATAATGATAACATCATAAAACATCTAAAAGTAGACCCGACTATCAAATTCCCCGACTATTTGTATGATTCGTCTGAAAAAATTATGGATGAATATTATTCGAAAGTTAGTAAGCAGGTGTTGAATAGGATAAAGCAGATGTATGAGACAGACGGCCAGATGGCTGGAACGGTTCCGTTGGAAAGCGAAGTTCAGGGAAACGCGGCAAACAATTCTGCGGCGACAAACGACACTGATGCTAGTCAGTACGTCAATCCAATTCCTCCCCCTGAGGAGGAATTCATTTGACACCTTATCGTCTGGCACCTTTAACGAAGAGACATTTCATAATTAATGTATCTGAAAGAGGTATTTTTATATTATAGCATGCTGTTGGAAACTGAGTGTCCCCGAATGCGTGCCGCTTTCACTCAACATTCACAAAAATAGCTTTCATTTTATATCTACCAAAAGAAAGAAAACTATAAAGAATAACATCATCAATTGGTTTCAAGTGAAACGCATAGAATCTATATAAATATCTAAGACTTATTTTTGTCGTAACAGTATCTTATTTGTGAAAATACGTGGCCTGACATTTATTTTGTCACATTAATTTGCACGTGACATGCGACAGCCATGACCGGGGAAAATTGGAAAAAAATACCTTTTGGTTGAACACATATTCTGGCCTATTTTTTTTCTTTTTTAAGATACAAGTTGATTGTCAGGTAGATTAAATGATGTAAGACGAGTGTAATTCAAGAATATATTTTCTTGACAAATTGTCTAGTCCGATGACTGGCTAACAATATATGTAAAAAGAAGTATATCTTTATTGAATTTGATAGGCAAGTCGAACAATTCGGAAATTAATTCCAAGTATACTATCAAGTGTGATGCGGGTAGGACAAGATGTGAACGATCAGTAAACCCGTAGACAGTTGTGGGCCCAATTTCACTCAAAAATAAATAAATTGATTAATGACAACTCTCGACGAAAGTTGCTCTTATTTTAGGTCAATTTCAATCCACTGCAAGTAAGAAAATAGACATTTCATTGTCTAGAAACAGACCAATTACCCCAGTTTTGGTGGCATAATATATCTTGGTAAACGTAAGTTTTGTCTCGTTTAAACCAGCTTTCGACTGTCGCTGATTGTAAAATCAAACCAAGATATGTACCACTTAAAATGTATTCGTGGAGTTGTCTGTCGTATAAGACTATTATTTTTTTCAGTGTCCGTCAATTCTCTGGCTATGCTCTGAGATTAGTGTTATAAGTGTTGATGTCTGGTGGTGAAACCGTGTCGGGAATAGCAATAAAAGAATATACAATATTGACTCAAATCATGCGTAATATTTCGCTCGGCCTATATCTGTACTGAGTTTCAGGTTTAACTAGAAGCCAACCTCTACATCATCAGCATCCTCCATTATTAATTAATTAATCAATTAATTAGTTAACATTATCTGTTACTTTGCTCCGATCTTATGTCTTGCTAGAGATACGTACGTTGCTCATACTGTATGTATGTATGAGAGGTAGACTGCTACCACAAATTTCCCAAAATTTCAACAAGTAAAATATGTTTAAATTATTGTTTTTCTTTTTATCAAGAGCTTATAAAATATGTGGGTATTACCTCCAATATTTCTGTGACTGTCAGTCACCATCATCAGGGAGTAAATTACTGTGGGTATTACCTCCAATATTTCTGTCACAGTCACAGTCAAAGAAATATTGGAGGTAAACCCCACATATTTTATAAGCTCTTGATAAAAAGAAAAACAATAAATTAAATTGATACATACAGAGCTAATGAAACTGTTCTCTCAAGTAAAATATGGATAAAGCAAAGGTGTAGAAGAGTGCAAAACAGATAATATTCAAGATTATATTACGAATTTATTGAATAATGTTTATTTAATTAAAAACCTTCACTCAATTCCCACAAATTTACGTCTTAAATTATGTGTGCCTGTTACTCGGTAAACTGCACCTCAACCAATATGCAAGCAATAAGTGTTAATCACTAATGCGCCGTTCGTTAGCCATTGGTAAATTACAATCTATTCTAGAAAATGGTTAAATTAATGAGAAATGGGTACACCAAAGTGAATCTTTAACCCCAGTTCAAAAATATGGCAAGGTGGTGGAACCAGCAAACGCAATGTCACAACATGGCACTTTTTGTGACAACTTTTGATCTAGTGTTTAATGAGAATGCAGTTACCGGCCGAGAAACAAGCTAATCGTTTACCTGAATTTTACGGCGGCGTAAACGCGACGGGAGAAAGAGCGGCTGCCGGTGTTTGGTCTTCGAGTACTGTTGCCCTAAAAAGGTCAACAGACTGTGAGGAAACTATAGCGTCCTCCGTTTAAATTTGCTTGTCACGTTTACTTTCACATGAACATTGCTCAAATCAATGTAATATATACCAATTTACAGATTGTGAAAAACGTT